TAATACCTCATCTCAGAAATATAGACAGATAATTTATTAATATTAATTATAAGATATTATTAAAGAAGTGAAGTAACAATGTTTAAAACAAATAATGGATAAATAATAAAGGTACCCAAAATAAAATTAAGATTAATATATATAACGGTTAACTTACAGAAGTAAGAATAAATTAGAATCTATTTTAAGTCTAGAGTTAAATTTCAAAGTAAAATTAAAATTAAATATATAATGCAAGTACAATTAGGCAAGATTGACGGTGGTTACAATGCTTATAAACATAATAAATATCAGGGGATTCATTCATAGATTAGAAATTTCTTTATCAAGATTGTAAGATTAATTCCTTTGTATGTCTATAATTTATTGCCGTTTCATATCTCCGATTCCACAGATTGTCATTTAATTATTTGTATTTTCTCTTGCAGTCAGAGAAAGCACAGTTAGAGACCTTGAGATTCTAGCTTGTTTTAGGATTTTCCATTTAACTTTAGGTGTTTTATCTTTGTCTTTTAATTCCCAGAAATACTTAGAAAGTGAAGTCATGCTTTGTTTATCTGCGTTATTAAAAGATGAGATATAGTTATAAAAGCACTTTTTGAAATCATTCGATGTATTTCCATTGTAAAAGCATTTAGAAGTCCTGGGATTTTCAACCGAGGTAATATTACACCCCGTATGCTATGGATTTTGTTAAACACCTGCTGGATAACGGGCACTGGTTGGGATTTTTACAATTACACAAGTTATTTGTAAGAGACCCAGTAGGGTCAGCCGTAGTCGCTGTTTCTGGGAATGAGCATGTTATCTAGTGTGATCAACAATGTGAACAAGGCCAGCATGCTCAAGCCCTCGGTCATGATGACTTGTGACTTTGTGTTAGCACAGCTGTCGATGGTTCCATTTGTTCCGTCTACCCAATTTCACTTACAAGACTTTGGTATGGTTTTCAGGCACTTTTCAATACCTCCAGTCTGATAACATCAGGAAATCTCCTTCCTGACACATCGACCATGATGAGATTCAAACCCAGGTCTCTTGGCCAGAATGCAAAGGTTCTTACCCCTCACCCACATGCCCATATATATATATATATATATATATATATATATTACACCCCCAAGCAAGGCAATAAAGCAACTAATGTGTATGAGAGAATATGAAAAAAAAAACATTATTAAGGAGAGAACAACGAAAGAAAAGGAATTAAGAAGACATGAGAGACTGATTGACACGTTAAAAACATTAAATTTTTGACCGTCAAAATCACTTGGAAGCTAGAAGCTGGAAGAGAGTTCCACAAGTGAGAAGTGCAAGAGAAGAAACTGTTAACATAGAACTTACAGTTACATCTAGCCATTTCTATTATAAAATGACCTTTCTGCCAATCATGTACTATGCTTAGATTCATAAAGTCTAGGTACCATAGCAGAAAGTTTATCAGGACAATTACTATGAAAGTCTTCATAGAAAAGGCGCAGGGAAGTTATGTTATGGTGGTCGGAAAGTAACTGAAGCTGAGATGCCAAGTCAGGACTAATAACATTGCAGATTCTTCTTAGTATTTTATCAAGAATATCTAAATGCATAGCAGGAGCACTAGACCAGATGTAGCAACAATATTCAAAGCAATGGTAGATCTATATGCAAGATAGATTCTGGAGAGAAAAATTCTCATGCATGACACTGAACCAACTTTCCAAGTGGCAGACTTAGCACTTGATTCAATATAATCTTTCAACCTCATGTCAGCAGAAAATGTTAGCCTAGAAGGTAAAACGGGTCACTCTCCTGGAGGTTAGTATCAGGTATGCTGATGGAAAGCAAAACGGATTCTCTCCTATGATTAAAAAAGGGCAGTTTTGGAGACATTAAAACTAAGAAACCATTCCTTGCCCCAGTTAACAGGTTGTCATCATTTTTGACATCAGCTGCCAATTTGATCATATCAAAATGATAAACCTTATTAATTATTAAATCCAAAGGGTAGCACCAAACTTTTTGGTCTATGTGTGTGTGTGTGTGTGTGTGTGTGTGTGTGTGTATATATATATATATATATATATATATATATGTAAGCAAATATGTAGATATAGATCCGACAGTATGAAAAAAATATGGAAAAATAAAAATCCGAATATGCAAGTATGCTGTTTTAATGTTGTTTCAATGTCGATGTCAGATAGTCTAGTAGACATTCTTCAGGATAACTATGTCCTGAAGAAGGTCTACTAGACCAAAACGTCTGATGTCGACATTGAAACAACATTAAAACAGCATACTTGCATATTCGGATTTTTGTTTTTCCATCTTTTTCTTCATATATATATATATATATATTTATATATATAAACCTAGAGAGCCAGACAAACCTACCAAGGTTTCACCTTAGCGGATCGTCAGGGTTAGGTTTTTTTTTTTTTTTTTTGGTCATATGATTATGATTTTTTTGTTTATTGACTATAAGTATTCTGTTCTTTTGTTACCTTTTTAGCCAGCCTTCCCTAACGATCCACTTAGGTGAAACGTTGGTAGATTTGTCTGGCTCTCTAGATTTTTATTAGGTCTGCTCTACTTACTGTATTGAGCACTTTATTTAGTTATTTTGCTTACTCGTATTGGGGGGGGTTCTTTAGGCTTTGGACTTGCATACTAGATGATTTACTTTTGGCTAACATACATGTTCTTGGTTCTTTCTTTTTTTATACCTTTTTTTTCCCTTTGGTATTTGTTTGATTATTTGCAAATCAAGACACCGAAGGTTTTCCGGATGAGTATAATTTCTTATACTTATAAGATTATTACTACTTCTAATATATATATATATATATATATATATATATATATATATATATATATATATATATTTTGCTGAAATATTCTTGGTTTTATCCAATTCCTGTCATCAGAATTCTGATGCTTTGCTATTGAGATGCTGATTTTAAGAAGTGGATCAATCTAAGTACATTTAAGAATCCCCACTGTCTACAACTGAAACCATGTCATCTACCTATTAGATATAGGTAAAATAAGAAGGTGGACTGGGTTCTCTAGCTTTGAGTGGGCAACTGGTCTTGGAGAAGGAAGACAGTTCTCATTTGGAATCTACAGCAACACCAATGGCAAGCTACTTCAGTATTTTTTCCCAAGATCTGTTATCATACTTTGAAGATATTAAATATAAGGAAGCTGTGGAGAGTGATGATCATCCACTTCCTGAAAAGATTACTTTTTTGTGATGCATCTCTTTAGGATATTAGGAGTCATGGCTCTCTACAAACTTGTAGCCTTTAGCTATGTTAGGTTCCTTTTCCAAAATTGTTGCTCCCTATTATGTCATTCGTTCACACAAGCTCACCTTCTCCTGTCCCTTCTGTCTGCAATATGCCCTGTGAATGTCAAATTCTCCAAGTTTTTCTTCCTCTTTATGTGTCCAAGAAATTCTTTCAGCTGTCTTTTTTTTTTTAATTTTTAATTTATAAGTGTACTTTTTGTTTCACATTTTCCTTAAAGCATCTTCATTGGTTACATGCTCCGTCCATGGTATTCTCAGCATCCTTCTGTAGAACCACTTCTCTATTGTCCAGCATTCATTGCAATACAAGAGGATTAATATTCCATATTTCATATACTCATAGTTGTTTCTAACTAGTGTGTAAACCCCTCTCTTGTGTGGTTTGTAACACATTGTTTCTCATCTCTCAGTTGCGTCTCTGTCTTTGGGCAGAGTGCACTCAGGGACGACTCCATCAAAGGACAGAATCACAACTAGATACTGAAAGGTGCCCAGTCCTGGGGAACAGCTGCCTGAAAGCCGTGCCCTCTCAGAGAGAGGGATCAGTGCTTGCACCGAGGCCAGCACAACCGACTCGATTTTTGTTCCTGGCCTGGGTGTATGCACTTGGGTAAAAAAAAAAAACCTTGTATCACAACTCATCTTAGTGGGGAGACAGAGTAAATACCTGGTTGTTTTTAACTAAATTTTCCTGTTTCTTAATACTTTGCTTAACTTTTGGAATACATCTTTTGCTATTCCAATGTGTGTTTGGAATACATTTTTCTGCTATTCCAATTTAAACTTGTGTT